TGGATAATAGAAACCATTATAATCTTTTGAACAATAATAGATACAGAGGCAGAGCTGCCTCAAACAGATTGTCAAACTGCAGCGGGAAGGGCTGGGAGGGTTGGGCAGGAGGAAGATGGGTAAGAGATCAACCGAAGGACTTGTATGCATGTATATAAGCATAACTAATGGACATAAGACACTGGAGGGTAGGGGAGGCCAGGTAGTCAAGGGCCGGGGGGGGGGGAGACACATATGTAATACCCTTTGTAATACTTTAAGCAAGAAAACAAAAAGAAAAAGAAAAGAAAATAAACACATGAATAGTTAGAATTAGCTTGAGGAAAGAATGAGGATCATCGAGTATAGTTACAGGAAGCAGAATTCAACTCACTGCAAGGAAGACATGTCCATGATGAGAACAATTTGAAACGTACTGGGCCCTTCTACTGTTATTTGAGTGTTCCCTCTCTAGAAATGTTCAATCAGACCACATTACAGCAAGAAATTGCCATGCACATTACATATATCGTCAGTCCGAAATATGACTATATCTTTGAACAAGGCTTTAAAAATAGTCTACTCCCTGCTCAGTTCCTTATTCTATTACCTCATCTTCTAGGTCAAGGTATCCAGAATTATGACAGTTCACCAATGAAGCAAATGTTTATCTCTTGTAAATTTAATTCACTCCATTGACCTAAAAAATGCCGGGATAATGCTGTTATTGACACACTGGAAGTTCAAAGATGTGGTCAGCACTATTTGTCATTTTTGTGCTATGACTAAACTTTCGGAAGTTAATGGGCTTAGAAGACAGGACATCATTTACCTGAAGTTATTTAGCAATAAAGTAGATTTTATTTATTAAAAAAAGAAGATTCTTTGCAAAGGCCATGAGATGGGATAGAGTCTGCCGCATTTGAGAAGCAGAAAAGTGCACTGTGTGACTAAAGGGAAGGGGAGGAAGGCATGGCTTGCAACAAGTTGGAGAGAAGGCAGCAACCATCATATGCATGGACTGGCAGGCCACGGGCAAGAATTTGGATTTTATTCTCAGGGGAATGAAAAGTCATGAAGGCGTTTTAAGCATGATCCAATTTGCATTTTTAATAGAACACTCAGTGGATGGACAGATAGATAATGATTAGCAAATACAATTAATGGTAGTAGCTGAATTTAGCTGGTAGGTATAAGAATGTTTACTATAAAATCATTTCAACTTTTCTGCATGTTTAAACATTTTAAAAATAACATGTTGGTTAAATCTGGCTACAGTATGAAGAATGGATTGCTGGAGAATAAGAGTGGCTACATAGACAGCAGCTAGGAGACTTTTCATAATCATAGAAAAGGGGGATGGTAACTTGGACTAGTGTGTTGGCGTAGAGATGGCAAGAACTGGGCAAGATTTTGAGATATTTAGGAAGTAGAATCAATATGGTTTCCTGATTGAGTTTGCCTCATGGCAAGGCATAAATTAAAGATCACTACCCAGTGCCAAGTTAATATAACTGAGTAGATGATGGTACCAGGTACTGAGTCAGGATATACTGGAGCAGAAAAACCTGGGTGCAAGGGAGAGGGTAGAGTGTTCAGTTTTGAATATGTTGGAAACATAATTTATCTCGGTGGAGATGACATACATGCAGTTGGATCTTGGATCTGGGTCTGGGTCTGAGAGAAAAGATCTGGATTGGAGAAGTGAGTTTGAAGTCATAAGCATATAAATGGCCATCAAACCATGACAGCACAATACATAATAATGCCTGAAAGTGTATAGAAAGTGATGAGAAAAGAAAGAACAAGCAGCAAAGAATCAAATGTTTAACCTTTAACAATTTTTAAGAGACAAGGAGAGGGAGTAACTAATAAAACAAAAATTAGGCACATGTATGACAAAAGGCTTTGGAGTTGCTTCCAGTCTTTTGCAATAAATTCCTTATGCATATTAATTTCTCACATATGTATCTATCTCTGTAGGATAACTAACCCAAAGTGAAATTGCTACATTTTGTGCACACACACGTACACACACACACACCCCTCATTTTTAATTTCAAAGTATTTATATTTGAAAAGAAAAGACTGCTTAGAAAAGCCACCAAACATAGACAATTTAGCTAACCATATTTAAAATGACATTTGATAGGATTGGTTAAATAAATCTGATATATCCCTATAATGTAATTCCATGTAGCCATAAAAAAGAATGAGGCTGTCAATATATTCTGATATGCAAGGGGAGAAAGGCCGACTTTCTTTTCACAATTTTGAATTATTTGAATTTGTTTTCATTCACATGTATTACCATTATTTAAAAATGTTCTTTGTACTTCTACACCATACTTAGTAAAAAAAATAAAGGTGTGACTTATAGATTAACTTATCTTTTATTTCTGAGAGCAGCACCAACAGATTTCTGATGCATACCTGAGTTTTGCATCATAGGAATGCCCAGTTAGATGTTGGTTTTTATAAAATACAGTGAATTGCTCTAAATGTGGTGAAGATTTGAACAAAATGTTCATGCTTGTCTTGAGTTCAAGATATAAATTGTGGACTATATTACTTTTCCACTTTCATTATTAGTGAAGAAATCCACTTTATTTGTCTACTTTAGAGATGTCTCCAGAGTTTACCATCATCACCCTTTCACCTCCCTTAAAAATGCCTTTGAAGACAGAATGAATCACATCAAGTCTGATGACTATTTTTCCAATATAGAAAACGATGATTTTAAATTTTTTGTTTTCTGTTTTCAAGAAAGGTGACAGAGATATAGGTGTGAGTTTTTTTTTTTAAATACTATATGTACTAAGCTACACTAGACCACTAACTTCAATTTTTTAGAATTAGTCTATTTTAAATAATATTTAAAATGGATTGCTTATTCTCTTACTAAGAATAATACTAAATATATTATTAAGTCTGCTTTCCAAATTCAAGAAAAAATTTAGAATATGGAGAATTGAGCTAGAATAAACCAGAAGATGATTCTAGTTTCCCTATTACTAAAAATCAATTACTATCTTCTTAGGGGTTTTATATGAATTCAAATGAAAAAATAAGCTGAGCGACTAAAATATGACTCCAGAAATAGAATAGGTGGAGTATGTTCATAGGTAAATAATCAGAATTTGCTCCACCTTCCTTCATCTATGTGTTCCTGTCCACCATGATAAGCATAGGATCATGCCAAGGACTTCAATGGAAAGAACACTGGCCTAGGAGTTACATGCTGGATTTAAGTCCTAATCCTCTACAGGAGTCACAGCTTCTATATGATTGTGGGCACGTCATTTCAGTTTTCTGGGTTCAGACTTGGAATCTGAAAAATGTGGAATCAGGTCTGAGGCACCTTTTAGCTTTAACAACCTTTGCATCTAAGTTTGGTTGGTTAAGCATCTGGAATTCCAGATGACAGAAAGTATGGTAAATTGAACTATTGGCCATGATTCTTCATTCCTTCCTGCATCCTCACTCTCACCAAGGTTTCATTATGAGCAGAATGTATTTTCCTGCCTCTTGATTTTGGGCTGGGCCATGTGACTTCCTTTGACCAATGGATTATCAATAGACATGATGAAAACATTGGTCACAGTATACATTATTTCTTATTCCCTTTCAGATAATGGCTTAGAACATTTTATAAAATATATGTTTGCAACAGAACTCTCTAATAGGTAGGTCATAACTAGGGTGACCCTATATCCAAATTTCCCCAGGTCAATCTTGGTTTACCTATGTCATTCTGGTATATTCATTTAGCTTCCTTCACTATCAAAGGTGGGTTTATTTAGATTATAAATTATATAGTCATGACAGAAAAACTTGAAAACTTACCTGGGTGAGCCACATAATTGCTAAAATAACAGGGCAACTCCCTGGCCTCAGCAATCATCCCCATACACCTTCTTTGAATCATGGGGGTTCCCAGGATGAGGAAAGGGTAGTCAGTATTCCTTCTTCTTACTCTTCAAGTGATCTACATTCTGAGTGGCCTCATTTTCCCTCAAACCATTTGAGGAAACCTAAAGTAACTAATAACTAGAAAAAGTGTGGGACTCCCAAGAGAACTATAGTGTCAAATAAGCTTGCACCAACCATTTCCCTTATGGTGTAAAGCTTATAATCATTACACAATTTGCTTGTTGACAGAACAATGTGGCACACTTTCTATCATCCAATCAAGATGTCCATGGGCCATGGACATATAATGGTACATGCTTTTTTAGACTTTTAGCAAGACCCTACATGTTCATCACACTGACATCTCTCCCCTCATGTCCTAATGCCCTCAAGTGAGAAATGCCAGGGAAGAATAAGTTCAGAACCCAAGCCTGCTACTGGTAGAAAATGACAGCCAAACAGTCTCAGGATGTCTCATTTTGGAGAATGGTACCTTCAGAGCTGACGCTTCCCCATGCTGGAACGAAGCATGAGTATACCCTCTACAGGAGTCCCAGGATTGTCGGCCATCTTCTGCCAAAGGTGTTGTTCTTCCCCCTGTGAGTCCATCCAATCCACAGTCTTCCCATGGCTCACACCTTAAAAAGGAAAATAGAAATATTACTCTTCACATATTAAATGTTTTGGTCTTCTGGAAGATATTTAGTAACCTCTGAGGGGGCCTTTTGATTACAGAGCCCTTCACTGACTTGTTCTCACTAACCATATCTAGTGAGTGGTGTTGAGTGAAATATAGCTTTTACAGCCTGCACTACTATCTTCTGCATAGATGATGAGAAACAATAGAAAGGGTACTCGTAGCTCCTTTCTTCCCCACTTTGGTAGTTTGCAGAGAGCTAGTTCATCTGGATTGAGTTTACACGACAGAATAAAAAACTGAACAAGGCTCTGGTGCTCTTTTTTTTCTAACAACTCTAGTTATTTGATCTGGGGAGTTTTCACTTTACTAGTATATATATATATTCTAGGCTCTCCTTAATCTATAATAAGTTGGTCATCATAGGGGTGGGTTTATTCTTAACAGGAATGTTGACCATGGTGCATGCAGAACACGTATGTCTGGACCAAGCTACAGAATACTGAGTTTGGGGTCTGCATGTGCTCCACTACTATAATTTTCCCCCTATACTTGTGCCTTGTGGTGTGTTTCCATGGTCTGCTTGCAAAACATCAGATGTTAGTTTTCAGGGAAAATTATTTGTTTTAACTAGTGTGAGTAATGGCTGCAAATTATGGACAGGGATGAGAAGAGGATGAAATAAAGTTGGTCTTGGACATCCTCTCTCCTATTAGAGTCTGTGTTGTCTGGTGATCCTCTCCTGGGAAAAACCTGAAGTAAGGCCCAAAAAAGCAGTTGAAATTCACTTAGACTAAAGTGTAAATTATACTTTGTGAAAAGAATGAAAATAAAAATTATGCATCCTAAACTTCTAGTTGAAGGACATATCTGTAAAGTTGTGAAGTAGTATATTTATTTTAAAAATGAACAGATCATTGGTTAAAGGCATGGGACATCTGTGGAAATTAAGGAGTCAGCTGTGCTGAAATTAAATATATACCTACTACATATCACACCTTCAGGAACCACTCCCAAACCCCATGCAGAGTCACAGACCAAATCAGGGTCCCCGAGTCCCTCACCACTTCCAGAATTCAAACGAACTCCTCCCAGAAAGATGTTGCTAGAAAAGGCCTCCTTGTCCCAGATGGTAAGTTCTAGGCAAACATTCTTTATATCATGGGGATGCAGGCCACAGAACATGAAAGTATGATTCCACTGAGGGTTAACACTCCTTTTTATTACCAGAGTTTTGTGCTTGGTGACTTTTCTATCATCAGGGAGCAGGTAGCTGCAGGAAAAAAATTGCAATCAAGCCATCAGTGAGACAGTAGATAGAAAATGGCATCCTTGAAATATTTCCCATAATTCCAGTAATATGTGTATTGGATATTCTCTCCCAGATTGTTATATGTCTAAATTTGGATTTACTTAGTGGGATGGTTTATTATTTCTTTTAGGTGGAGCAATAGTGAAATGCCCACACTCTCTTTTTCTTTTTATTAGGATACTTGGGGCCACCAAGCATGAGCTTCAGAATCATCTGCAGATGGCTGGTACTTGTGTTAGGCTTAGAGTTTTCCAGGAGAGACCAAGCTGTGAATCTTGGCAAGCTGCTGCTAGTGCCAGGTGTGGGCCCACTTACCAGAGGTATGGGGCACACTGAGTCCAGCTGCTTCTTGCATGAGAGATTTTAGGAAATTCTGAAGGATGAGCCATTCATACAAAAAAGACACAGCAGAAATCCAAGATGGCTGCCAACGAGATGGCAGGCTGCAAGATAGTGTGTGAGTGAGAGAACAAAAGGAAAGTGTATGGTCTTCTGGGGAGTATATGCATTTGTGAATGAGGGACAGCTATATTCCAAAGGACTGTCGGACTGGGGTCCCCTGGCTGGGCAGCCTCTACTGCTGCTGAAATCTCTCCCAGATCAGACGTCTCTGCCACAGAGACTGCACCATCTTGAAGGGGAGAGTGGCTGTGATCTGAAGCCCAGCCTTACTTTCAACTGGGGAGACCTTGGATACCTCATGGGACCCTACAACCACAATGCCCAGGGACCAGTTGCCTCAGCTACAAACCCGTGAACACCTGGACTACATCATCCCCAACTGAAGGCACCTAAAAAGCCTGTCAAGAGGCAAAGTGGTGCAAATATGCAGATGAACCCTACACCTTCTCACAGAGCAGATAGAAAGAACAGCCAAATCGAATAACATCTAACTGGAATTGGTGAATTCAACACAGCTGTTGAGGCAAACCATGGATGGAAAGGTCAGATATGGCCTAGAGAAAGGAGAGAGAGAGCTACATAACCAGACACCCAGAGATGAGTTATCAGGGGGAGACAAAGAAACAACCCGAATACAAAAAAAAGGAAAAAAATCACCAGAGGAAGTAAATGAAATGGAGGCAAGCAATATGTCAGAAAAAGAATTCAGAGCAATAGTCATAAGGTCACTGAAAGGGATGGAAGACAAATTCAACAATATGTGTAAGAACCAAGAGGAAATTAAGAAGAACCAAGAAGAAATGAAAAAAAAAATTACATAGATGCAATAAAGTACTCAATAGAAAGCATCAACAGTACACTAGAAGAAGTAGAGGACTGCATCAGTGAGCAAGAAGACCGAGTAGGAGAAAATACCCAAGCAGAGCAGCATCTAGAAAAAAACTTTAAAAAATAGAAGAGCATAAGGGAACTTTGGAACAACGTGAAATGAAACAACATCTGCATAATAGGGATGCCAAAAGGAGAGGAAACTGAGCAAGGACTAAAAAACCTGTTTGAAGAAATAATGACAGAAAACATCCCTGATATAGGGAAGAAAAAAACTCACACAAGTCCAAGAAACTCACAGAGTCCCAAACAAGATGAACTCCAAAAGACCCACATCTAGACACATTATAATTAAATTGGCAAACACTAATGACAAAGTAAAAATCTTAAAGACTGCCA